GATTTATTAATTATGTATGCAGTATTCTGCCTGTATATATGCCTGCACAGCAGAAGAGGGCACCACTTCTCATCACAGATGTTTGTGAGCCACCATGTGGTTGCTGGGAATTGAACTCAGGACCTCTGGAAGAACAGGCAGTACTCTTAACTGCTGAGCCATCTCTCCAGCCCCCATTTTTCCTATTTTTGATTTTCCTGCTTTTACCTCCTGACTGCTGGCATCACAGGCATGTGCTTCCACTTATGGTTTATGTGGTGCGAGGGATAGAACCTGGGGATCTGCACACCAGGCAAGCAGTGGACCCATGGAGCTACAACCCCTGCCCTCCTTTCCCCTTTGTATTCATTCCAGTACCCCAGTCCATAATTGGTGCTGCCTTAAAGTAACTCTCTAGAAACTATTCTAGTGCCCTGGAGTCTCTTAATCCAACTGAGGATGGAGGTTATCCATCACTGCCCAATTGAGGGTGCAGGTTAGCCATCGCTGTCCTATTGAGGGTACAGGTTAGCCATCACTGGTGCTTTCCAGTGCATGCTCTTTGTGGATTTCATGCCCAGGAGCTCCTTGAAGACGAGAGCAACACTTGTTCAGGACTGAGTCTCCAGCACCAACAAGGTTCTGCCTGATTGGAAGCCTGAGTGCTGATAAATGTGTCAGGTTGGTGGCTTAACCAAGTATCGGGAGAACCCCATAGGCATAGAACATTTTTCTTGGCTTCCACAAAATACCACACATTTCAGAATAAAATCACAGTAAGCAGGTAGTTCCACAAGTGTCTACCCACACGGAGTGTATTGTGGGCACACAAGTCACAGTTCATTCTGGCCTGTGTTCACTACCTCCTTCCTTTCTCAAATATTTCCCATTGCCAAAGTCTTCAGTCTGTTAAAAAGACAATCCAAGAAGCAGTGTTACCTCAACTGATGAGAGCCAGTTTATCATGTCATGTAGGGAAGGGCTGGCAGCAGCTTATAAATGTGACTTCTCTCATGTAACGATGACCATGACCATCCGCTGTTACCTAGAAAGGCATTTGACACACATGTAAGTCTGGCATTCTGAATCACAGAACCAATTGGATAAACTATTTGCAAATTTTATTTCTTACTTTCCCCCCCTTTGGACAGGTCTTACTGTGTAACCCTTGCTAGCTTGTGCTACTTGCTATGTGCACCAGGCTGGCCTTGAACTCAGAGGGAGCTGCCTACCTCTGCCTCCATAGTGTTGGAGTTAAAGGCATGTGCCATCACATTAGTAATTTATTAAATTGTGGCAAATATGCATAATATAAAATTGAACCTTTGAGCTATTTTTAGTGTAAAAATTTGCTACTTTTTTGAGATTTCACACGCAAGTACTATATCTATGTACTTTCCACCTCTCCCTCTCCTGCTGAAACTCCTCTCACCTCCTTGTAACTCCTGTCATGTCCCAACTTCATCTCAAATTCATGACTCTTCTTTAATGTGTGTGTGTCTGTGTTTGTGTCTGTGTTTGTGTGTGTATGCCTGTATGTGTGTTTTATTTGTATTTGGAAACTCTGTGGTCTCACAGGATGAACTTCAACTCTGTGCCTTTCTTTACAATATACATGTATACGTATATAAACTCTACCACACACATAAACCCTGCTGAGTCCATCTGGTGTTGCTTCTATGTGCATGTGCTTAGGACTGACCACTTGGGATTAGATAGACTGTCTTGGGGGCTCATCCCTGAAGAAGACTCTCAGCAGCCATTAATTGCCTGTCTCCACATCTAGTGGTGGGACCCTGTAGGATTTTCCCATTGGCATGTCAACTGGTGTCACTGTGCCCATCTTGTTTATATGACCATCTATTTGAGATTTCATGCGTACGTCTTCCCTGTCATATATAGAAGACATTGCCTCACAGCAGACATCCTGGCCCCCTATCTCTAAGAATCTTTCCTCCTTCTCTTCCATGATGTTTTCTGAGCCTAAAGGGTAGAAGTTGTATTATAGATATGTCAATTAAGGTTGGGAACCCCATAGTCACTTCTCGAGTTTTGACCATTTGTAGATTTCTATGATCCTCATTTTCTGCAAGGAGAAGCTTTGTTGATGAGAGCTACACTTACCTGTGGCTGTAAAGATGAGTCTTGAGAATGCAGTTGGAAATTATCCTGGTTCGGGAAAGTGGCAGTAGTAGGCTCTCCTCTAGGATCCATGACCTCACCAGTTACGCGTAGTTGGCTAGGTTATTCATTCCTAGAAGTCTTCATCCTTCCAAATAGAAACTCTGCACTCATTAAATAATATAGTTCCCCATTTCATCTTTGTCCCTGGTCCTGGTACTACCCTGCGATCTGCCTTTGTGAATTTGCTTACTCTGGGCTCTGCACATTCATAGAATTATCCCTGTCCTTTACGTCTGACTTACTTGTCCTTTTGTGTCTGTAGAAATGGAAAAAGTGAGCTTTGTTTAGCATTGCATTATAAGATTCATTCCTTTTTATTGCTGGAGAAAATTCATATATTTATGGCAAATGCTATCATTCCTGTTGGGTGTATGACTTAGATTTGGAGGGACTGACAGTCTGTTTCCAAAGCAACTGCATCATTTTACTTTTCTATCAAAGTGTATGAACATTCTGATTTCCTAACATCCCAACTAGCATTTGTTACCATCTTTCTTCTGTTTCTTAACTCTAGCCATCCTAGTGAGGGTGGAGTAGAAATTCATGTGGCTTTAATTTCCCATGCCAGAGAAAAAGAGATTGGGACTGGGAAGAGAATATCTAATGGCCTTGGAGTCTCCTAGTTCTTAATCCCTGTTTAAGATCTAGGCTTGTTCAGGTTTTATTTATTTATTTTTCCTACAACCAAAGGAATCCTAACTAATTGTTTTAACTTTATTTGCTTGCTTTTCAAGACAGGACTTCTCTGTGTAGCCCTGGCTGTCCTGGAACTCATTCTGTAGACCAGGCTGGTCTTGAAATCAGAGATCCCTCTGCCTCAACCTCCTGAGTCCTGGGATTAAAGGTGTGCACCACCATTGCCCAGCTTGTTTTTAAGTTTTTTTATTAATAAGTAACAAAGCAAGTCTAATGTTTTGTACACAGATATCCTAATCTGCTGGACTAATAGACTAACAGATTACCAGAAAATGGTATTTTGTTCTTTTATATTCCTTCCTTTCTTCCTTATTTTTTAATTTAGCATGCCAGTCTGCCCCTCACTTTATAAGGAAGACTCTAGTTGTCATTGTGCATATATTTTTATGGTTCTTGCCTGTAGAATACTTTTATTTTTATTAAGTGGATTTATTTCTTGCAATATTAGTTTTAATTCAATTCTGAAAAATTTGAAGTAGATGCTACATCTTTAAAATAATTTTTTCAATATTTGTGGATTCATATTTTTCTCCCTGCAATGTCAGTGTCCATGCATGTAAATATTGGCTGAGATCAGGTCATCCTTATACTGTAATAACACCAATTGCGATGCAGGGTGACTGCCCTGTCATCTTGATTGTGATGTGTCAGGCTGTAGGTGTCTTAGAAGGTACCATGTTACCTGGAACTCATGCACATCAGAGCCATTGTGCTTGAACACATTCTTTATGTTCCTTTAATGCTTGTTTATTGTGTTTGTCTTTGTGTATATGATACATGCCAAGATGTACATTCGATGCTCAAAGGGCAACTTGTGGAAGCCAGTTCTTGGCTCCTGCCTTTTTTCTGAGGTAGGATCTCTTTGCTGCTCTGTTGGCTAAGTCCCCCCAAGCTCAGTGGCCTAGGACCTTCCACACAGTTCTCATGCCTCCATCTGCCTGCATCTCACTGTATGAGTGCTAGCTTTACAGATCTGTGCTGCCAAATGCATAAGTTCTGACTTGAACCAGGTGCTAGGATTAAAGAGTTCTGACTTGAACCAGGTGCTAGGATTAAAGGCGTGTACCACCACCACCTGGCTCATTTTTAATATGTGACTCATCTTTTATTTCTTTTTTTCTTTGGCTCTTGAGTTGCCAGCAAAATGAGTATTAACTGTATAGTTTGTACTCAAACATTTTTATTGGAATTTCTTTTGTCCAAAGCATGTGGGTTGTAGCTTGACACAAGGCCGTTTGTTTTTTACATCTTCATCTTGACCACAAAGGTTTTTTTTTATGAGCCAAACTCATAAGACTGACATTGAAAACTGGTGATTATTAAGTGAGAAGTCACAGGGCATTCACTTTCTATGCAAGTGGGATGTATTGGTTTTCTTCTCTGGGGCCCATGCTCAGTAATAGGTATCAAATGGTATGAGTAGGTATCAAGGACTTTAATGCTGAAATAATTCCAAGGTCAAGTAATGGAACCCTTTAGAGAAGATGACTGAACTTTATTGAAGGAGAAGGAAACAAGTGGTTTGTAAACAAAAAGAAGTATGGACCATCCAGAGATGAATAATCAATATTACAAAAGCCAGTCATAATAGTAATCAGTATGTATTTGTAGACACACGTTTTTTTTTTGTTTTTTTTTTTTGGTTTTTTCGAGACAGGGTTTCTCTGTGGCTTTGGAGGCTGTCCTGGAACTCTGTAGAACCAGGCTGGCCTCGAACTCACAGAGATCCGCCTGCCTCTGCCTCCCGAGTGCTGGGATTAAAGGCGTGCGCCACCAACACCCGGCTGTAGACACACGTTTATAAGGGGGGCGTGTATCCATTGCTGCTTACGAACCCTTGGAAACTCATGGTCCATATGTCCTGTAAGCATTACTATGTACTTTGAGAAAGTGGCCACCATTGTACCCTATTTTACAGATTGAAATGTTGAGCTTTAAAGAAATTAGAGGAAGCCAACTATGAAATGTAGTTCATTCAGTTTGAAATTCATTGCTCTTCTCCTATGTCGTGTGAAAGGTTCAATCCTCTAGGATCAGGAAACAGTCCTCTCCCTAGTACAGGCCCTAGTGAGGATCGGGGAAAGAGGGTCAGGTGTCTGGGTGTCCTCAAATTTATAACCTCAGTATTTGTCTCATTTGAGATCCCTGCAGTGAAGTTGAATGAGCTGCTTGAGAACTTTTATGTCACTGTCAAGAAGAGTGATGGCTCAGACTTCCTGGCTACCTCACTTCATGCCATTCGCCGTGGCCTGGACCGCATCCTGAAGAATGCAGGTGTGGGCTTTTCCATCACCAGCAGCACCTTCAACTCTTCCACCAAGAAACTCAAGGAGAAGCTGTGGGTTCTGAGTAAGGCAGGGATGTCGGGTGCCCGTTCTCGCAATATTGTCTACTTCTCCCTTTCTGATGAGGAGGAGATGTGGCAGGCAGGGTGTCTAGGGGATGACAGCCCTATTACTCTCCTGTCCACAGTGGTTAAGTACAACAGCCAGTATCTGAATATGCGGACGCTGCAGGAACATGCAGACCTGATGTATGGTGACATCGAGTTGCTCAAAGACCCACAAAACCAGCCCTACTTTGCCCGGACAGACAGTGTCAAGCGAGAGAGCCGCAGTGGTTCTACTAGAGTGTGTCATGGGAAAATCTACCATGAGCATTCCAGGGGACACAAACAGTGCCCTTACTGCCTCCTCTACAAGTACATGTACATCCACCGGCCACCTACCCAAATGGACGCCAAGTCTCCCTTCTACCTTACAGCCAGGAAGGAGGCCACGGACATGGGCAGTGTGTGGTATGAAGAGCAGAGGATGGGGTTGCGGTCCCTCCGGGGAATTGTCCCAAATTTAGCCAGAAAGGTGAAACTGGACAACTGTGAGAACTTCACCTTCGTCTCATTCACTCAGGTCTCCAGGCGACTTAGCTCCCATAGCTGCTGCCAGTGAACCCAAGGCCAGGCCACTGTCCCTCTTGCTCACCCAGGAGACTTCCCTCATGTGACCATGGCCAGAGTCATCAGCAAGCAGGTTCTGAGGCGACAGAGAATGACATCTTCACTCTGCGGTCCAACTGGCCTCCGCCATTCCTCAGACTTGAAATTCACTTTTACATAAAAGTAGATGACTGAATAATTTGGATGTTTTATCTAAATCTGTGACATCTTGTTAAATCTTAGAATCTAACACAATATATAATTATTATATACAAGAGTGAAGAAATTCATTTTATCTATCTAGTGCCTTTTTAGCACAGGTTTTCTTGGGGAGAAAAAAATTGTTTTAAGTAGTTACTTTAAAAATAGCCCAGTAGCCCAGTAGCTTTAGAATGGTATAGAATTATATACATTTTGTTGGGTTTCTTTTACATAGGGACCTAGAGCAAGAGAGGCAGACATTAGAGAAAAATTGCACTCAACACCCTTTACATTTTGTTGGTGGGTGCTCTGCCAGGGTGGCGGGGCTGCTCACCTCAGAGATAAAGGAAGCATTTCCGCTGTGCTGATTAGATAGAGGCAGTTTGGTGAAACAGAGATTAATACTCTGAAAGGGTGTTTCTGAGACATCATGTGCAGTGGACTCAGTGTTCTGCCCCATGAGGGTTTCCAGTAGTGACAGGGGGACTTGGAAAGCCACCTGTGACCCTAATGTGAAAACCTGAAGCAGAAGTGCCTGCATCTGTCTGATTTGTCCACACTGTGAGAGCACTTGCTGTTTGGACTTTGTTTTGTTTTGTTTTAATCTGTCTTTCACATCATGCAATTGTCATATTGGCAAGAGTCCCTAGACATGTAAGGCTAGCAGTAACGCTCGTGGTTAACTAGGAAAATCAACAAAGTAAGCCACAAAGAAAACAAATTCCCAATTCATTAAGGATCCTGGAAATCTTCTGTGGGTTGGTACTGGTGCTCCGGACACCAATTTTAGGCAGCCTACCAGGTAAGCAAACCAGCACCAAGGACATGGTGACTGAGTCAGAGGGTCACTGTAAGTTAGTTATGCATTGTCAAATCATTTCACATTAATAAAACTTAACCTGACCATGTGTTATTTAAACAGAACTTTCTAGTAACTACTCTGAATACAAGTGTTTAAAAAGGAGCCCAAAGAGTGAAAATTAGTAGTAGTAGTAGTGATAGTAGTAGTTTCTACTCAACTTTCTATTCAAGGAAAGACGGCTTCATTTGTACCATTATGTTCTCGTGTGTGCTTTCTGATCCCAAATTAAAACCCCAGTGCAGGTTCACACTGCACGAGTCCTTAAATTAGTCATCTTTTCCAAAGCACTGTTTTAATATTTATTTAAAGTTGCCATTTTAAAGTCACTCATTAATCACTGAAGTATGTGACACTTTACCAGAGAAGACTCAACCAATGCTGCCTTAAGGACTCATGTTATTCCATTTCTAGTGAGTACATGGTTGTAGTTCTTTTCACTAGGCAACCTTCCCTGGGTGGTGATGAGTTTTAGTAGCTCCCTGGATGTGTAAATAACACGAAACTAATAATCTGTGTTTGACTTGACCCTGTGAATTGGTCTGTAGTGGCTTCCAATCATGATTTTAGGGCTTTGGTTTAGAAGAGATAGACAAGCCAGGTGTGGTGGCCCATGCCTTTAATCCCAACACTTGGGAGGCAGAGGCAGGCGGATCTCTGTAAGGCCAGCCTTTTCTACGAAGCTGGTGCCAAGACTACACAGAGAAACCCTGTCTCGGGGCGGGTGGGGAAAGGAAGAAGAAGAGATAGTCCCAAAAAGGTTAGGTCAGTCTGCTTTAGCTTGCTAAACACCCAAAGGTCATTTGTTTGTGGGAGGCAAACAGTCATCTTGTCAGTTCTGCGGGTGAGATGGCGACATGACTTGTATGGCCAATTTGCAGAGCCTGCAACTTCATTACTAACACCTTCATTTTTATTTTAAATAGATTCAGAATGTTGTCTTTAGCTATACTGGGATCTTTCCAATTTTAACATTTCCAACAGAAGCAATAACTGACTGTGTGTTGTCAATATTCCTGCTAACTGGAACTGTGCAATATTCCTGTTAATTGGAACCGTGCAGCCTTTGAATAAGCATCCCTGCCTCAGCTCACTGTCTGTCACTGGTGTGATGCATTGTAAGTTCTCAGAATTCTGAAGTGAACAGTTATACTGAAACCTCAGGGGTCAGACCTTCTTCTAAGTCATGCCTCCTTGGGTCATGGGAGTGAGGAAGAACATACTTGCGTCAAGGGCTACCATATGCCATGTACAACTTTACCGTGTACTTGTGCAGATGCATCTATGTGAAACACACTTTAAATCAATGTCTGGTAAAACTGGGTGAGGTTACTGGCATGGCAGAGTAGCTGTGTGCCCGGATGGCCATGCTCTGGAGGACGGCCAAGAGCTGAGTTTCAAATTCCCAGGAAGTTATTGGCCATCTCCACAGGAGACATATCCGGCTTTTGGCTTAAGCAGAAGGGATAGGGCAAGTTATGAGCACTTTCTCACCTCACCTTTGGGTCTCTGCACCAGAGTTGGGTGGTTACCCAGAACTTTCGGTCTGAGCTAGTTCACCCCGATGCAAGTTGCCTTTGGGCCCTGCATAAGGGGAGTTGCAACAACACCTTTTGTATTGCTGTAAAGGAAGCTGAGTTAGGCATGGTGGATCACACCTGCCCTGTCAGCAGCACTCAGGAGACTGAGGCAAGAAGATTGCTGTGAGCTCTGGACCAACCTAGGATATCATAGCCGTCTTGGGCTACAGAGTGAGACCCTGTGCTGAAAAACTTAAAAGTAATTAGAGGGCTAGAGATGGGTCAGCTGTTAAGAGCGCTGTCTACATTCCTGACACCCATGTGTTGGTTCACAACATCTGTAAACTGCAGTCCCTGGGGATGTGACACCCTCTTTGGCCCCCATGAGCACCAGGCACAAACTCAGTGCACAGGCATCCACACAGGTAAAACACCCACACATTGAAACAATAAATAAGGAGTTGTACTGTTACCTCCCCAGAGCCTATGACCTCTCTCCCGGGAATGGCTTGCCCGGTAATAGGTTGTTGTCCTGATTATGGAGATCCAGTTGGATATGAAGAGTCTAACACACAGCTGTATCTTAGGCAAGCAGTGGGTTGTTGTTGTTGTTAAAACTTTTAGGAACATGGTGTCACTCATTTTCTCCATTGTGGAGATTCTCTTCTGTACATTTCTAAACTTGAAGAGGAAACCAAACCTGATCATCTGGTCAAATGAACACATCCAAATTTATGAAGTCTACCTCCAGCACAACCAAGCCTGATACCTCAGACACAAGCAAAAATGAGAGAAGGAAGACCAGGAGTCTCCAGAGGCTTTATGGAAAGTACCTGCATTGTTTTCTGTGTTTTCAAACAGAAATATAGTATGCAACCAAAGCTGTGAAAGAAATGGTCTCTTTGGTCACGTGGCCCAGTACCCTTTCCTTGGATTTTATTCTGATTAGTCAGCTCAGACCCATATATGAAGTTTGAAAAATGCGAAATTCTGCTACTTTTTTATATTAATTCAGTCTTATTAAAAGCATTAAGCATTTCAACATATTCATAGACACAGCCATTAAGAGGATCTGAACAAGAGGGTACTTATGTAAACATGAAATGCCCTGACAGATCCTGGGGGCATTCCTTCACCACTCACGCGGGCAGCTTCTGCTGGCACTACCATGGCTCTGCAGTGATCTCAGTGGGCTGACTCATCGCCAGTTAACAGGCCACACGGCCATTCTAGCACTTCTCGGTACACTAGCATGTCTTCTTGGGAAATAAATTTGTTCTTAAACTTTCAAGTTTCAAGACTTCTAAAATTATTTTACCACCGGACAACAGAATGTTATTTTTGTTAGTTTAAGCTAACGGTAACCATATTGTTACCATTTAAATGAACAAAATGGTTTAAGATCATCCTTATAGGTATTTATCACTTGATTGCTTTTGTGAGACATTGATTGAAAAAAAAAAGTGAACTTGGTGAACTTGGAGCCAGTGACTTCAGGCACGGATGAATTCACACAGTAAGACCTCACAGAAGCCGGCTCACCCTACACGAGCGGAGAGCTCCACTTTAGTCTGAGTTACCACTGTACTTGTTTTGGAGCTAAGAGATAGCTGTGAACAGAACATAGTCAAAATTTTAAATTTGTGGACACTTTAATTTCACTTCTAAACAAGTATTTAATTTCCTCTGTCAAAAGAAAAACATTCCGCTGTTTAAGCATTGTTCCTAAGTAAAGATCTTTGTTGAATTTCTTCCAGGTGGATGAATCAATGTATGTTAAACATGGTTTTACACACCTGTAACCTCAGCACTGGGGATCTGAGCTAGGAGGTTTGCAAGTTCAAGGCTAGCCTGGGCTACACAGCAACATCTTGTCCTAAAAATAAATTTAAAAAATAGGTAAATAAATAAAGTAGGAAGTGAGGTGGAATGGTGGTGACGGTAGCCACACCCTCTTTTCTGAGAGAACAGGGACAACAGTGTGATCATGAAATGAGTATCCTTGGAAATTCCTACATCTGACATCACAGGATTTCTTAAAGTCCTTTCAAGGAAGCTGCCCAGCCTTCAAGCTAAGTTGTACTGTTATCTGTAGGAATTTCAGCACTTCTGGCTTTTGCGGTCCAAGACTTTCCTCATGTTGTTGATCAGAATCATATTGTTGCATCCAACCAAAGTTCCTCATTACTTATCTACTGCAGCCTATGTAGAAGTTAACCATTTCAGGAAATACTTAAGCGTGATTGATTCTATAGTAAGTATATTAATCTTAAGACGCCCCACCCCCAAAAGAATGTCTAATGTATTGGTAAGTGCATAGTAGTTCCATCACCACTCACACTGACTACAGAGTCCACCCAGTTTGCAAATGAGGACTCCAGTCTGACCACCACTGTGGTAGGGGCCCGCCAGAGTCATCTCATTCTCTGTTTTGTAAAGTACATCTAGTTACCCATTTTTTGTTGTTAAAAAACCAAGACTCAGGTAATTTAATTTAACTTCCCAAATTCTTATAGAGCTAGTAAGTTTGAGAAGTAAACCAATATTAAGTCTTCTGATACAAATCCAGTGTTCAGCTCAATAGGGCCCACTGAAGTCCATTTGTCTTTGAAATCCTAGCCAGGCACAAACTTGTGTTCCAGCAGTTGGGAGCTGGTGGCAGAAAGATCTAACCATTCAGAGCCAGCCGCCAGGGGCAAGTTGCAGAATTGGGCCTGGGAATCTAGTGAACTTGGTCCTCCAGAGCATATCTAGGAAGACTGGGATTTGAAAACTAATAGCACAATATCTGGCAGAATACCTGGCTAGCGGAAAAGATTCATTAGGGTTGGAGAGCCAGCTCTGTGGTTAAGAGCACTGGCTGCTCTTCTAGAGGACCTGGGTTTGAGTCCTAGCACCCTCACGGCAGCTCACCCCTGTCTAACTCTAGTTCCAGAGTATTCAGTGCCCTCTTCTGGCCTGAAGAGGTACTGGACATGAACATGGTGCACAGACATACAGGCAGGCAAAACAGAAGTGTTTTTTTGTTTGTTTGTTTTTTTTAAGACTCCTGAAGAGTAGAAGACTAAATCTCAATTGTAGAGTCTAGATGGAGTCAACCCTGCTTATGAGGGGTGGCAGACAGACTTTGGAGCTCTGTTTCTGGCTTCACTAAGCAGTCTGTACTTCCATGCTCAGGGGAAGGTTCCCGAACCAGAGATGCTGAGCAGTCCTCGTAACCTGATGCTGCACCAGGAAGGGTGGGCACTAGATCTCACACTCTTCTCAATACACATCCCCACTGAGTCCAAGACCCCAAATCGTAGGGCTACATTGTCTAGTAAGCAGCTCCCAGAATAAAGCCTTCAGGTAAACGCAGAAATGGTCGAAGGCTGGATAGCAGGAAATACAAATTTTATGACTTCTTGTATGGTACTGGTTCCAAGACCCAGAAAGCCGGGCAATAGGAGGCTGGGACAGTGAAAAGTTGAAGACTCACGTGCACATCTGAATTTTACATTTAAATATCTAAAATATTTTAGTTATAATACAGTCTAAGAAAATACCACTTACCCCACAGTCTAACAACACATCATTTAGATTGAATGGGTCTCTAATTTAATTGTCTCTGGAATAATAAACATGGGGTCATTATCCACTAGAGGAAAGAGTGTGAGCTTTGAAATAGACAGTAAAGCTAGAAGCCATGCATCTACAAATGCCCAGAGTCCTCTCTCAAATGTGCTAACATAAGATGCATCTGAGAGTAAATGTAGTGCCACCATATTGGTTCTTTCCATTTTATTACTGAAACAATCCATGGCAATTATAATAGATAACTCAGATACAACTCTTACAAATAAAATCTAAATTATTTTAGACTTTTCCAACAATTCAACCCTCTTGCAAAAGAGCTCATTCCTTTTTTTTTTTTTTTTTTTTTTTTTTTGGTTTTTACGAGACAGGGTTTCTCTATATTGTTTTGGAGGCTGTCGATCCAGCCTGGCCTCGAACTCACAGCGATCCTCCTGCCTCTGCCTCCTGAGTGCTGGAATTAAAGGCGTGTGCCACCACCGCCCAGCAGAGCCACTTGTTCTGGGGTCACAGAGCGCAGCACGGCCTCACATGTACTGCTTCCCTCTTCCCAAAAGTAACAACAGGCACAAAATTAGACACTTACAGAATGGACATATGTCTCTTTTAAAATTAGATGTGGGGAGGGAAGCTGGAGAAATAGCTCAGAGGTTAAGAGTGCTAACTGCTCTTGCAGAAGACCCAGGTTCAATTCCCAACACCTACATAACAGCTCACAACTCTCTTCCACTCCAGTTCCAGGGGAATCCATCGCCCTTTTTTGGCTTCCACAGGCACCAGGCATGCACACAAAACAATCATAAAATAAACTTTTAAAAAGCTGGAGAGGACGGGTGGTGGTGACCCATGCCTTTAATCCCAGCACTCTGGAGGCAGAGGCAGTCAGATCTCTGTGAGTTTGAGACCAACCTGGTCTACAAGACAGCCTCCAAAGCCGCCGCAGAGAAACCCTGCCTCAACCCCGCCCCCTCCACACACACACACACACACACACACACACACACACACACACACAAAGATGGAGAGATGACTCACAGGTTCAGAGCACTATCTGTTCTTCCAGATGCCTGAATTCAATTCCCAGCACCCACATGGTGACTCACAACCATCTAAAATGGGATCTGAGTCCCTCTGCTGGCCTGCAAGGATACAAGCAGACAGAGCACTCATACCTTTAAAAAAAAAACAACAAAAATAAAACAAAACTGGATCAGGGAAAACGGTGTATTCTAGAGTGCAAAGATAAGAAAAGTTCCATTTTTAGCTGCAGGAAGCTGGCCAAGGTAGTGATGCTTTTTGAAAAAATGCAGACATCTGTGCAAGTTCAAGTACTGTGAACTTGGGGATGTAGCTTCCCAAGTGGTAGAGCACTTTGCCCTAGGGTTTTTTGTTTGTTTGTTTTTGTTTTGTTGTTTTTGTTTGCTTGATGTTTTTGATGTTTAATAAAGGGCCTTACTATGTAGCCTTGGGTGGCCTGGAACTCATTATGCAGACCAGACTGGCCTCAAACTCATAAAAATTCACCCATCCCTGCCTCCCTCAGTGCTGGGGTTAAATGAATGTGCCACCATGCCCAGCCAGGCCCTAGTTTCGATACCCAGCTTGGTGGAGGGGGAAAGCACAGTGAGAGAATAAAAACAGTGAAAACAAACTACTTCTAGAACCTACAATATCAGTGTTGGCGCTAAAACTGGGTTCTGTTATTCTGTGTGCTTGCCCTGGACATGCTTGAAAGCAGGAGTGGAGGTTGTCATCAGCCTCCTGGCTCAGCTCCCGAAGCTGTGTGTGCTCCTAGCTGTCTGGCCAGAGAACCCCAGATGTTTATTTTAAATTAGCAATGCAGGAGTTCACGACTTGCTTTGTGCTTACTTAGTTTTTCATTCTGATATAGTACAAAACCTATCCCCAGGGGCAGGGACTGACAGCCTCTTCTGGGTGGAAACCTGGTATACGCTTCCCAGGGGTCTCTTGCTTAGCTGTGATTGACAAGTCTGACTTTACCATTTAGATAAATAATTTGTCTTTACTTAAAATGTTAATGTTTTCTATATAACAGGTTTTTGTTTTGTTTTGTGACAAAAAATGTACTTGTAATGTTTTTATTCTCCTGGGTGTTTTTAAACACACTAGAAAGGTCTTTCTGACTGGAGTTCATTTACTAATGACTGATTTTATTGTACCCTTCCCAACTTTTTCTCCCCTGGTGGCCACACTTGGGAACACACATGTGCACACAGGGGCCTGTGAACAGGAAGAGTTTGCATTCATTTTCTGTCAGTGTCAGTTTTGGAAGGGGTTTTCTTACTCGTGTAGTTCAACCCCCTAGCTGATGGTCTAGTAGAGTTTGTTAACAATTTGCAATGTTTGGGCCTTGTTCGTTTGTTTCAAGGTGTTGGTTGGCTTTATTCACGTATATGCAGCTTTACTGTTTAACCCAGGTTTTAAAAAATAAAAAAAAAATCAATGTATATTTTATGTCTGTTTTCTTAAAGGAACCAAGTTATTTGAGCATGATATGCAGCATGCAGCTTGAGTATTTTTCCATTCCTGCCACATTCCTACAAGTGGTGTTTTGCAATATAGGTATATTAGGAGTGGTTGAAATCTGTTCCTGTCTAATTTCCTGTGCTGAGTTCCCTCCCTGGCTTCCTGGGAGTTGTAAGAGGAAGTAAACAAGAACAGGTGTAAACAAACAAACAAACACAAAAGGCTGGTGTAGAGTGCCTCAGAGGTGAGTATCCTCCACCGAAAGGAGGAGCCCGCGGAGACACGGAGACGGCCCTGCGAACGACGTGGATGGGAACTGAAGCGGAGTTTTGGGTGAGCATGATGGGCTATATTGTTGTAAACATCCAATGAAGAAAACTGTTCCTGCGGGCAACCCGATTTGTACCCTCTAACCTGGCTCCTTTAATGTAGGTCTGTGGGTTACAGAATAGCCTAAGACAGATGAGCTTATGATACACAGATGTGTGCCACATTATCCATGACAGTTTCACCTGCAGACAAGATAAGAGGGCCAAAGAGTGCGCATGGCTGAGGAGGTGCTGATGTAGAGGAGGTGCCCTCCCGAGAGCACCAGCCAGCTATGGGGACCGGGTTACCTGCAGTTCCGGTCCTGGCGTCCTGAAGCCCACCCATGCTCACATAGGGTCCTTCCTTCTAGTGCCCAGAGCTT